TCCTCCCGCTGGCTTTCAGCTGCTGCAAAGGGAGCCATACAGGGGATCTGTTCCAGTAATTGCACCCCAGCTGCACCCATCACCCAATCCGTGCGCCATACGTTTTCCTCTGCTGCCCAGGACCTTCTGTGTGCCCCCAACCCCACTGTGCCGGCTTCCCTCCTCTTCTTCCCACCGGCAGCTGCAAGCACACAATGGGATCCTTCAGGATAAAGAGTGGGGGAAGGGTACGGTAAATGTCACATTTACCAGCGCCTTCCTTTCCTGAACGAACAGAATGAGTGATCGGTACCAGTCACTTGCTGTGTTCCTTCATAACTGAAGCATAGTAAACTGCGACTGGGGTGCCGGTCAGGTTGGCTGTATGGGGCCCCTATGGTTTCTAATAGCAGCCCTGCTACCACCACGTGAGTTGGCACCAAGATATAAACATTTTAGCTTTAGATACATTATTGAACAGATTCCGCTTCCTAAATTGTGGGGTAAAAATACATAAAAAATATTGTGTATATAAATATATCTTTTTACATTAGAAATTTTAATTCAACTCCTTGGCGCCGAAGGTACGCAAATATACAGCCTCTCGGCGGCTGGGCCTTGATGCCAAGAGGGTGCCTACTTAAAGGGTCGGGAGGCACCAGTGTAAAGGGGTTCAAGATTTAAAAAAAAAACCCAAAAAACTGTATTTTAAAGTACCTGGAAGCGGCGGACAAACATAAAGAGTAATGTGTGGCAAAATCCACGGCACCGTATGAAGGACGGGGAAATCCCCAGAAGGGAAATGAATACTATAGAAACCAAAATCTCTCTGCTACCGGGTTCCATCTTCATATTACGGAACGTTCCCATCCAATCCACATTGGCCTTTCCCATACTTAGGAGAATCGTTTCGATTTGTGACACCAATGTTGCCAATGTTTTCATTTTTTTTTTTTGCCAGAAAAATGAATTTATGGATTTGAATAGAATTTATGGATTAATATCTACCCATCCTGCCACGAAACGCTTGAGCGCCGCTCTGGTGCAATCCTCACTTGATAAATCCAAGGTAAGGATTGTGCCAGAACTTCGAGGCCGACGCCACCTCAAACTCCTTTCGTTCCTTGTATTCTTGAATTCATTAGACCGGGACACCTTCTTCCATCAGTCAACACCTGAGACTCGTGTTCCTCAAACCATTCTTGAATTCATTAGACCGGGACACCTTCTCCTCCATCAGTCAACACCTGACACTCTTGAAACCATTCTTGAATCGATCAGACCAGGACACCTTCTTCCATTGCTCCGTGGTCCAGTTCTGACGCTCATATGCTCATTGTTGGCATTTTTGGATATGGACACGGGTCAGCATGGACACCCTTGACCGGTCTACGGCTACACAGCTCCATACACAACAAACTGCGATGCTCTGTGTGTTCTGACACCTTTCTATCAGAATCAGCATTCACTTCTTCAGCATGAGCTCCAGTAGCTCTTCTATTGGATTGGACTACATGAACCAACCTTTGCTCCTCACCTCCATCAATGAGCCTTCCCTGCCTACCTCCCTCAATGAGCCCTCCCTCCCCACCTCCATCAATGAGCCTTCCCTGCCTACCTCCCTCAATGAGCCTTTCCTGCCTACCTCCATCAAGGAGCCTTTCCTCCCCACCTCCATCAATGAGCCCCCCCCCCCAACCTCCATCAATGAGCTTTCCCTCCCCACCTCCATCAATGAGCTTTCCTTCCCCACCTCCATCAATCAGCCTTCCTTGCCTATCTTCCTCAATGAGCCTTCCCTGCCTACCTCCATCAATGAGCCTTTCCTCCCCACCTCCATCAATGAGCTCCCCCCCCCAACCTCCATCAATGAGCTTTACCTCCCCACCTCCATCAATGAGCTTTCCCTCCCTACCTCCATCAATGAGCCTTCACTCCCCACTTCCATCAATGAGCCTTCCCTGCCTACCTTCATCAATGAGCCTTTCCTCCCCACCTCCATCAATGAGCCCCCACCAGCTCCATCAATGAGCTTTCCCTCCCTACCTCCATCAATGAGCTTTACCTCCCTACCTCCCTCAATGAGCCTTCCCTACCTACCTCCATCAATGAGCCTTTCCTCCCCACCTCCATCAATAAGCACCCCCCCCTCCAAGCTCCATCAATGAGCTTTCCCTCCCCACCTCCATCAATGGGCTTTACCTCCCTACCTCCATCAGTGAGCCTTCCCTGCCTACCTCCATCAATGAGCCTTTCCTCCCCACCTCCATCAATGAGCCCCCCCCCCCCCCAAACTCCATCAATGAGCTTTCCCTCCCCACCTCCATCAATGAGCTTTACCTCCCTACCTCCGTCAATGCGCCTTCCCTGCCTACCTCCCTCAGTGAGCCTTCCCTACCTACCTCCATCAATGAGCCTTTCCTCCCCACCCCCAATCAATGAGCACCCCCCAACCTCCATTAATGAGCTTTCCCTCCCCATCTCCATCAATGAGCTTTACCTCCCTACCTCCCTCAATGAGCCTTCCCTGCCTACCTCCATCAATGAGCCTTTCCTCCGCACCTCCATCAATGAGCCCCCCCACCCCAACCTCCATCAATGAGCTCCCCCCCAACCTCCATCAATGAGCTTTCCCTCCCCACCTCCATCAATGAGCTTTCCCTCCCCACCTCCATCAATGAGCCTTCCCTCCCCACCTCCATCAGTGAGCCTTGGCCACCTATGACCCTTTCGCCTGTTTGCCGGTTTCTCCTTCCTTAGACCATGTTTGGTCGATCCTGACCACTGCAGACCAGGAACATCCCCCAAGAGCTGTAGTTTTGGAGTCGCTCTTTCCCAGTCACCTAGATATTATAATTTGGTCCTGGTCAAAGCCCCTCCAATCCTTACACTTGTCCATTTTTTTCTGTTTTTAACACATCAACTTCATGGACATCATATTCACTTGCAGGGGCGAACTGACCGTTCGAGCACTCAGGCGCTGAGGCTCGGGGTCAGTAGGGGGACCCATAAAATGGTAACTTTTATTGTCTTTTTTTGGGTGTGTTTTGAGTGTGGGCAAGGACACAGGGGGCCCATGATCCCCAATTGACCCGGGGCCTTATGAGTTGTCAGTCCGCCCCTGTTCACTTGCTGCCTAATATATCCCGCCCACTTTCAGATGCCATGGTAATGACATCATCAATGTTATGGACTTCACCCATCAGTGGTTGGAATGGTACGGCTCATCGATGTATAAAAGGTTGAAGAGTCGACCTGGACAATACTGAGTTCATCCAACTGCCTACGTGACCCCAAAAACCCCGATCATCACAAGCAGCAGTTGTAGCCTAAAATGTTGCTTGTGATACTTTATCCTGTAATTAGTAAGTCGCCGTTTTCTATAAATCGTCCCAAAGTCCCCGGACTATAGAAGCAGTTGGCATCGTGTTGAGGATTTATTACCGAATCCTCATTTCTCGACTGAAGCGAAAGTCTTTTTTTTTTTCCCTCAATTAGGCTAATATTGGCTCAGCCTTAACTCTTCCTCAGACGAATCTCTTCGAAGGTTGGCTGTCCCCGAGGACCACTCGTCTTTTCAAGGCTCCTTGGGTGGAAATTTTAATAAAAGGACTTAAAGGTGTCACTGGAGGGGAAATATGATTCAGCAGAATGTGCTTCTCGCCTCCCGGCCTCAGGGAGAGGAAAAGAGAGAACGAACTCTTTGAGGACGATGTTATCCAGCAAAGTTTTTGTTCGCAGACAAGAAGAGAACATCTGGCGCCAGAATTGCTTCGCTCGGGTTTAGCCAGTTTTTTTTTTCAAGTCACAATCTGTTGGGGTACCAAACCTCCGGAGAACCAAAGGACGTCCATGTTTCTGCATTATACATGCACAACAAGTGATACTGCGGTGTGATTGGCCCTTGGAGGCCTATAGACACACAATTTGTTTTTAGGGACATCTTGACAAGCGGAGTTTCTTTTCACTAACTTATTGAACGTTTAGTATCGTTGGTAGCAGTCAGCTTCCTCTTAAAGCAGTGGTCTCCACTGGGGCCGGTGACACCCTTTGTTTGTTTGGCTTTTAATTGGCCCCTGGATGACTATTCCCCCAACTGACACCAGCAATGAGGCACCATTCTTTCCAGTGACACCAAGAGTGGGGTATAATGGGGCACTGTTTGCTTCCACTGACCCCAATGATGGGGCACTATTTCTCCCACTGACACCAATGATGGGACACTATTCTTCCCACTGACACCAATGATGGGACACTATTCTTCCCACTGACACCAATGATGGGGCACTATTCTTCCCACTGACACCAATGATGGGGCACTATTCCTCCCACTGACACCAATGAAGGGACACTATTCTTCCCACTGACACCAATGATGGGGCACTATTCCTCCCAATGATGGGGCACTATTCCTCCCAATGATGGGACACTATTCCTCCCACTGACACCAATGATAGGACACTATTCTTCCCACTGACACCAATGATGGGGCACTATTCTTCCCACTGACACCAATGATGGGGCACTATTCCTCCCAATGATGGGGCACTATTCCTCCCAATGATGGGACACTATTCTTCCCACTGACACCAATGATGGGGCACTATTCCTCCCAATGATGGGGCACTATTCCTCCCACTGACACCAATGTTGGGGCACAATTCCTCCCAATGATGGGGCACTATTCATCCCACTGACACCAATGATGGGGCACTATTCCTCCCAATGATGGGCACTATTCATCCCACTGACACCAATATTGGGGCACAATTCCTCCACTGATACCATGATGGGGCACAATTCCTCCACTGACACCAATGATGGGGCACTATTCATCCCACTGACACCAATGTTGGGGCACAATTCCTCCACTGATACCAATGATGGGGCACTATTCCTCTCACTGACACCAATGATGGGGGCACTATTCCTCTCACTGACACCAATGATGGGACACTATTCCTCCCACTGATACCAATGATGGGACACTATTCCTCCCACTGACACCAATGATGGGACAC